GGTTTGATGAAGGGCGTTAGAGGTGTAGGGCAGTTTAAGGTCACCATGAGGCTCCGAGAACTCAGGTGTTGAAGCGATTGAGCCCAAAAGATCAGAAAGTATAAAGACTTATGGTGAGGGTCTTGCGGCAGGAGGCAGTTGAAAGCTTTTCGGATGTTCAACGGTATTCTGCACATGTTTGTGTAACGAGGGCTCTGGGTGCTGATCTGGTTGAACTCAACCCTCCAAAAGGCCGAGGGGGAAGTTTTCTGGGCGAAAGGGCTTTCGCTCAGGGATTCGATTCAGATTTCGGTTCTTAGAGGTTTACGGTTTGAGGTCTAAGATGTGGGGTTTGGGGGTAGGGGCTTTAGGTCTCAGTGCGCTCTTGGCCCAAGTCCTGCGACCCTAAACCCACAAGTCGGCAACGAGTCTGAAATCCGCCAAAGCAATTTTTTCAAGAGTTACCTAGGCCCCAAAGAACCTACCTTTGTTGAGGACCCTATATAAGGAGATCATAATAAGGAACCCTGAACAAAGGGAGGTCTTTAAGTGTCTTTAAGGGTCCAGGTAAACCTGAAACACCTTACAAGCCCTGACCCTGAGCCCTTGGTTTTGAATCTGGAGCTTGGCGCCTGGACGCGAGACTCTAATCTGGACCTGAACCCACATTTATTTGTAATTTTTTCTAATTGATCAGTTATAATTAGTTAGTTAATGAAACAGTTATAACTACTTAAATAACTAACTAATTCAACTAATCTATACTTCGCAAACCCCTAAGCTCCAAAGCCAATCATTGAATAAACCATGACAGCCAACCTCCATGGCCCGGAGATGCTCATAGCCGTCGTGCCCCCCCGCTGCAAAAACCAACCTCGCTCTCTTCTAGGGCCGTTTAGGGCAACCCTAAACCCTAAACCCAGGGCTTCAGGGGTCTTGGGTTTGACGAACTTGTGGCCGGGGGGGTTTACAGCTTAGTAGGGATAGCAGGCATGTTCCCTAAAGCGTAAACCCGATCCTAAACCAGACGATGAGCTTGGAAGGCTCCAGTTGCTGTGGACGGTCGACTCCCCGCCCAGCGAGTCGATTCAAGACCGGTCCTACGATCAAGCCTGAACCCCCCTCGGCCCCTGCAAAACCCAAAACCTTAATTAATACATCCAAACACTAAACTACGACATCATGTGGTATCACAAAATATGTGCCTGAACAATTAGCATACGGCTCTTGGGCATGGTGCACAATAGCCTTTTAGGGACTCTAAGGGGTTACCACTGCTGAATTACTCAGACCACAATATGACACCAGTTGTGCTGGAGGCTTCGGCTGCTCCAAAATTCAAGGCCTCTTGAACCCGCATGAGTACTGTCCTTACTCAGCCACAGATCCCAATGGCCGAACCAGGCCACAAGCCTAACACCAAAGTCCTAAATCCAACACAAGAAAATGACCGTGGACACATGCAAGCCTCTGGCATCCCCCTCCTCCATGGTGTAAGGAATCATCACCCCATTAATGTAGGCCCCTGGTCAACAAGGAGCTTTCTTTAGTGCCTTTGTATAATAAGCCCGGTGAACCTCTGTCCGCACCCAGCTCTGGGGCGACTGATTCTGGGCTGTGTTGGCTGATTTCGACTCAGACCTCGATGTATCCAACCCTAAACCCTACAACCCCTAAAACCCCCCTAAGCCCGACGACCCCGAAGCGGCCCCTCAGCGTCCTAAACCTCGTGGCCTAGTAAAAGCCAAGATGAAAGAACTGAAGATACGAAGGTGGATTTTGGGGTTTAGGGCTGCGGGTTTCAGGATTTTGGAGCTTCGGGTTTCAGGATTAAGGATTTTGAGGTTTAGGGTTTAGGGTTGAAGGATTTTGGGGGTTTACGGTTTAAGGATTTCGGGGGTTTAGGGTTTTTAAGGTTTTGGGGGGTTTAGCTCAAAGCAGCATTCTGGCAAATAGCTCAGGAGCCATCTAAGTCCAACGAGCCCAGTCTCGGCCGTTGGAGGTTCAAAGGTCGTTACAAGCAGGGCACGATTTTTTTGGGCTTGAGGGATTAGGGGTTAGGGTTTAAGTTTAAGTAGGGTACTACGGGGTTTAGGGTTTAGGGATAAGTAGGATACGTATAGCTATAAGCCAAACTGACGGACTTCTGACCCCACTTGAACCTCCAGGTTGTCATCTGGGCAAGAGACGGGAAGGGAAAGAAATGAACGCCGTAGTAGGTCGCCTCCTGCACAGACATGGGCAGTTTTCCAAATTAGGGTCCCCTTTTTGGATCCCCCCAAAAAAGGACCCTTAAACGGGACCCTATTAAAGAGAACTACCCAGATGACTGTGTGTGAACTCTTCGGGCTCCCCAGAGAAAGGCAGAGTCGATTCCTTAGGGATGGAGCTTGCGACCAGGTCTACTCTACAAGTGCCCGAACGAGCTTGTCTATTGTAGTATGTTAGGGTAGATTATATTGTAGTTTATATGCCGATTATGCCGTGTGCCTGAGCACCACATACAGAACAGAAGCACCCAAATAGGTCTGCTTCTCTCCGCTTAGCCGCCTTAGCCGGGATCGTTCTTTTGAGTAAGAGGCTTCATCGACAAGTGGAACAGAGAGAGCCGTAACTTGGCGTAGGCCGCTCCCAGTGCCAAGTGGACTATGGCGGTTTGTTGAGGTGTGAGAACTTCTGCATGCCTTCGCCTTTGAGGCCCAGAGGGCTCTTGAGCTAGGAGCTGAGCTCCATGACAGGTAAGCCATGTGGCACACGTACAGCAAGCCGATTGGCACCACACTCATGCACAAGCCTAGGCATGTATAGGACAAGGCTGCATGAGCATGACTAGGAGCAGAGCTCCATGAATCCTAAGCCGAATGACAATCATGTACAGTTCAGTAAGAGCTTTACTTGTCGTTCGCTGCAGCCTGAAAACATTCCAGTGTAAGCCCATGCCGTGATTCTTTCTTGCCAACAGTGCCGAACTGATTGGTGTTACCCAGCATTTGGTTATGGCTTCTGGTGAAAATATGAACCCCAACGAAGTGGACATCTCTGGTGGTGAACCAGAACAACAGGTTATGAGCCCAAGGGGCGCTCTTGATCGCGCTATGAATTCTGCCACGGCTATGAATGGTATTCCTCCGCCACCAACTACAGGTATCCTGGATATGGATGGTGAAACAGTGGCAGGGGCGAACGCCGGAGCCGTGCAACGTGATACGGGAGTTAGCAGAGGAACTCCTCCCTCTTTGGAGACAGCTGGAACAGAGGTGCCGTCTTCTTCAAGGGCTACTATGTCTTCAGCATCTGCAAGGGGTTTTCTGATGGGACCTCAAGCAAAGGCATCGAGTCAGGCTGGGACAGATTCTTCGGAAAGACGTACACAAGGCTCCTTTCTGACTGGGGTGGCCAAAGCGGTACAATCCCTTCCAGCCGCCGTAGAGGGGTTTATGATGGGACAAGGTTCATCGGGGCAGATCGTGCAGGACGGCCAGCGCACTGAACATGAAGGATTCGTTTCGGCGCAGTCGGGAAGCCCTGATGGCCCGCGTGGCTCCCGTGTTGTACCTTCGACTGAGGGAACTCCGTTGCTAGACGAGGAGACGCTCCAAAGACTGAACGGGCTTCAAGCATCAGCTCCACATCTTTATGCACCTGAAGCTCCGTCGTCTGGGATACGACCACCGTCAACTTCGTCCAGTGACATACAGGCTGAAGTCCGGAGACAACTGCGGGAATTTATGATGATAAGGGATGAGGAGAATCGTGAGCTGCGTACTAGAGTTGAACTTTTAATGAATGAAAACAGAACCCTGAGGCAAGAGGTCTCGAACCAAATGTACAGCAGAGAGCAGAACCCAAGGCCTTTGAGTTCCGGGAGGTTTTCTGGGCTGGAGTGGATAGGAAGGGGTTTTGGGAATCTCATGAGTGGAGTCTCGTCACCAAAACCTGTCTCACCTCCAGAGCGGCTATTGGACTTACGGCCACCTCCAGCACCTCCGCGTAACAGCTCGCCCTGCCCACCACGTCCTCTGCCAGCAGCTCCGAGTGAGGTGCCAGTTGCAACAGCTTCAGAGGTTCCTAGGCCAAACGGGTCTTGTTCAGGCAGGCCAGGGGCTGTTCCATTGAATCCGTGCCCTTCAGTACCTGAGGATGCTCCTACTGCTCGCGCATTGGACTTTGAAGACGCAGACCCACCGACCCTTTTCCCTGCAACCTTACACCAAGGTAGTGCGCGCTCAGGTGCAGATGATCCAATGAGTGTTGTGCTGACGGGGATGGCACAGCTGCAGGGTGTGGTAGCTGATCTAGCTAACAGCCCAAAACATGTTAAGCAAGAGGTGATCAAACCGGGGGTTAACACACTTCCCGATCTACCGGCAGCAGGACCTGAATCTTGCCTGCAGTTTGCAGATTGGTTGCATTCCAGCAAGCCCGCACTCAGCGACATTTCAGATACTAGCGAGGAGCTATGGTCGTTAGTATTATCCGAAGCTAAGGCTTGGTATGGAAAGTATTTGAAACTTGATGCCGTGTCACGACTCACCTTCAAGCCCATTGCTTCTGAAAGCGTGACCCAAGCTAAGTGGATGAGAGTTTCCAGGCGAATCGAAACTATGATAATCGCCGCCTGCCCTCAAGCAGTACGCGAAGAGATTAGCGCAGCTAGGGTAACTGGGTTGCTACCTGTGGTTGCTAGGCTCTACGTCATCTACGCACCTGGTGGGCTCACTGAAAGAGAGCTAGGCCTAAAGCAGATCCAGGATCCGAGCACTGGAACCAATGTGCGCGATACGGTTGAGATTCTACGTAGGTGGCATAGGTGGTGCGATAGGATGCGTGAGCTGGGAGGCACTTTGCCTGACAGTGCCTTGAGGGTTAAGGCCCTTGAGCGAGTGACGCGTGTGGTGCTGAGTACTAATCCAGATGTCGCGTTCAGGGTCAACCTCACCAGAGCAGCCTTACAGGTCGACACCAATCCAGATGACACGAAGGTTGAGCAACTGCATGCACACTTGTTGGGTGAGCTTGAGGCGATCATCCATCGTTCAGGTCCGAAGGACACGGAGAAAGCAAAGGAGGCCAACTCCGGTGCAGGTGCCAAGGTTAGGGGAGTAGAGGACAACCCTAAGAACCCTAAGTCCGGCAAGGCTAACCCAAAAACCCCGGGAACCCCTAAGTCCGGTAACACGTCTGACAACCAAGCGCAAGGCGGCGTTCCGTGTACTTTCTTCACCGGGCCTAGCGGATGTAAGAAAGGCAATGATTGCACCTTCGTCCATAACTGGGCGGCAATTCCTCAAGCCGAGCGAGCGCAGAGGTGCCGTACGTGCGGGGCTAAGGGACATAGGTCAGCCGAATGTAAGGCGGGCTTGAAGGGAGAGGAAAAGGCTAAGTATAAGACTCCGCCTGCTAACGCAAAGACCCCCGGCGGTGCGAAAGGAGGGACTCCAGGCGCCACTGCCAATAACGCTGTTCCCCCTCCACCAAAGGAAGTGTCACAACAGCAGATAAAATCTATGTTAGCAGACGCGGCCCAAATACTACAGCAAGCCGTTCCTGGAGCACAATCCAATGTCGCTCAAGCTGTACCGATAAGTCCGTCGCCCGCTCCTTGTGCCACCGCAAGCCCTGTATCGGCTACTGTGACCCAAGGAACACCTGTAACGTTGGAGTCACTTAATGCTCAAATTGAGTCCCTTCGAGCCATGACCCAAGAACATGAAGTGAGGATGTTGAGCATCACCCAAGAGAAGCCACAAGCCTCCGCTGAGGAGGAGATTCAGGTCAAGGCTCTATTGGACAGTGGAGCCACCCATGCTGTGGTTCCATTCCGACGGGAAATGAAAGATTTAGAACGTGTAGGGGTGACCTTAGCCGGGGACCTACGGGAGGAGTGGTTTAAGACTAGTGGTGGTACTCTGGTAGTCCCGCCTGCTACTAATGGCACAGAGGAGCAACGCCTCCAAACAATACTCCCTCTAGGTGCGCTAGTCCAGACCCTTGGCTGTAAGGTATCCTGGTGCAAGAAGCGGGGACTTCGAGTTACCCACTCCCGGCTAGGGCCACTTAAGGTAGGTGTTTCCAACAACACGTGTCCATATATGCAAGAGGATCAAGCTCTAGGGTTAATAGCCGAATTAGAAGGGCAAAGGTTGAGAGACTTCGAACGTAGCGTGCAGGCCATGGAGGCTGAACTACGCCAGATGTCTTCCCCGTGTGACCCCACGGAGGCCCTTAAAAGGTTTGTAACCACTGGTGATAGGGGACATCTTCTTAGAGCCGTGTTTGCCCAGCCGTACCTGAGACAGGTCCCAGAGGCAGTTAAGGTAAGACTCTGTGAAGATCTCCCAGGAGTGACAGACGAACATGGATGGAAGCTGCTCAAGAGGCTTCCGCTGAGCCGTGCAAAGCGGCGATCCCTGCATGGATCGCGTCGTTGGGTTGTATCCTTGTGTTCAGGAGTGAGTCTTGAAGGTGACCCACTGAGGTTGTGGTCTCAAGAGCGTGGCTTAGAATACCTGGGTGTTGATATACGAGGCAAAGGAGGACAGGGCTGGAACCTTTGTGCTGAAGCTGGAGTGTGGTCGGTGTTGCTTTGGGCAGCTGCCCAAGGACGAATAGCCGCGGTGCTGTCGTCGCCACCACACCGCACATGGACATCTGTAGAGTGCAACCATGATGGTCGCAGCACAGAAGATCCATGGGCTGCTCATTCCCAGGATGCCTCTGTTCTTAAGGAAAGCATGATGGCAGTCCAGGATATGGTGTTGTGGTCCGTTGCTTCTGTAGCCCGGGGTCAAGCCATACCGTTCCTGAAGGAAATAGCCTCTACCTCTCCAGTGTCAGGGTCCGCACCAGGCGTCAGGCTAGGTCCGGAGTCGTTTTGGGGTACCGAGGTGTGGAAGAGTTTCCAGCACTGGGCAAGGGTGAAAACCCTTACGTTTTGCCAGGGTTCCTTAGGCCACACATGGTTTTGCCCCACTACCATCGGAACCAACTTGAGCCTAGATCATCTGCAAGGCCTGCCGAGACAGGGCTTGCCAAGCCCACAGCCCTGTGGTGACGGTGCTGATTGCAACGGGAGATGGTCTATAGGGCTTAGGAAGGAACTCGTAGAAGCCTTAGCAGGGAAGGTGAAAGGCCCGACACTTGAGGAACTAGACCGAACTATAAGCGAGGCAAAGGATAAAGTACAGAAGGGGGCTCTCTCGAGTAGTGAGACACTACCCGCGATATCACCTGGGTCCGCCACTGAATCCTCCTCGGAGGGCACTGAGTCCAGTATATGTGAAGGTGAAGAAGTTGAGGTGAATGCCTTGAAGCCGGCTGAGGTTGAGGCCTGGCGAGCTCACATCCTAAGAGGCCATGTTCCATATCGGCGCGACTGCCGTTATTGTGTAGAGGGATCTGGTTTAGGAGTACAGCACCGTAAAGTTAAGAATCCCCATGCATACACCCTGTCTGTGGACCTCTTTGGTCCAATGCCGCCCCTGGAAAAGGGAAGGGATGAGCAATCCGTGTCGGGAAATCCACACCTGCGCTTTGGTTTAGTCGGAGTGTTCAGAATGCCCAAATCACTACTCGCGACCAAGCTCACACCTCCTGCTGTCGATGTCTCTCAGCCAGTTGATGAGATAGGGGTTTTAGAGGATTTACCAGGATCTCCGGGGGAATATGCACCTTCGGAACCAGGCTTGGGCCTTGATGAAGTTGAGCCCGAGCTCCTTGAGAGCCTATTCCAGGAACTTGACCTGGACTCAATGAAGGCTGTGGAGGTAGCATCAAGAGATGATGATCAAGAAAAGGCCATAATGCCCGGCAGTCCAGGTAAGGTTGAGATTGAACGTGAGTGGATAGATGACTCTCAGCTTGAGGCTGAGATACGTGACGCAACCACTGGCATTGAGTTAGTTACGCTGCGTTACTTTGTAGGCCTCAAGTCTAAGACAGGTGCTGATGTAACTGCGGGAATACAGCAAATCGTGCTTAAGATCACCCAGCAATTCCCTTTGAGAGTCTTGCATTGCGATCCGGGCACGGAATTTGCCTCTGACAACTTAGCGCGCTGGCTTCCGAGTCAGGGGATTAGGTTGCAGACCACAATACCTACGGATAAACAGGGTAACGGGTTGGCGGAAAGGATAGTAGGCTGGTTTAAGTCTAGGGCCCGAACCCTTATAGCAGCCAACTCCCTGCCAACTTCCTACTGGCCGTTGGCCATGAGATGGGCCTCAGAGGCCTACAACCGTGATGTGCTTGGCATGAGCCCACTCCCAGCGTTCGGTCAACGGGTTCTCCATAAGTTGAAAAAACCTGCCGGAGCCCATAAGGAGCTTATGACTAGATGGGTCCAAGCCTCGTACGCCGCCCCCCATCTGACTGTTGCAGAGGGACATGTCTTGATAACCGATGAAGGAAACTTAGTAGCCTCTAAGGGTTTCAGAGTAGGGGTTGTGGATCCAATGCAGCTCCAAGAGGTACAACCTCCAATGATTCAGGAGGAGGATGAGTTCCTGGGGGAACAGCCACTTCAGGAGGAGGGCAAGGCCTTAGATGAGCTGCATCTTCAAGAGGAGAGTGGGGACCCACCAGGGTTGGATTTCGAGCCGAGCACACCTGATAGGAGACTAAGGGAGAAGACCACAGTGAGATTCCTTGAAGGCGAATTACATAAGGATACTCCAGAGTCATGTGCGCAACTATTGCTCCTTGACGAAGACTTCTCGGATGCAGGGTTTCGTAGGGTAGTCACAGCCCTTGAGGAGGCAGAGGCTACTTCTACAGATCGCCGGGGAGACTTTGAAGGGCGGTTCGTTTTAGGAGCTTATTGCCATGGAGGTCAACGAGGAGTTACCACATTATGTAAACACCATCCTAGTTTGACCCGATATCTGAATAAATTTTTGAGGTCCAGATTAGGAGGTATGAACTGTGACGCGGAATGGTCTGCAATTCTGTTGATGCACGCTTCAGATGTGCCCACACATCGTGACTTCCGCAATGAGTGGGGAACCAAGAATTATGTGTTGTGCGTCCCCGGCACTGTAGATCTATGGATAGGCCCTCCGCACGATCCAAAGGTTAAGCCCCAAGCTATATCCCCAGACTGGACGTCTCAGGACGTTTATTGCATCACCAATGAGGTGAGAGCCTTCGACCCAAGAGGGTATCATGCAGTGCGCAAGAATCCAGACTGGGTGATTGTAGGATACTCGCCGCTTGGAGTCCTTAAGCTGACTGGGGTCGATAAAGACCTTCTGAAAGGTCTGGGCTTCCGTATTCCGATAAGGTTTGAGGAGGAGCATCAAATCAAGGTTGTGCGTCAACAACAGGAGCCAGAGAGAGTTCCTGAGCAATCCGCTTCGTCCGCCGCTGCGGATCAAGGCCCGTTGTCACAAGACGAGCAGCCTGATTCCAATACCACTCTAGTTGGGTGGGACCTTTCTGAAGGAGCTCGCAGAAACCAACCTACAGGCGACTCACTTCCGAGAGACCTTCAGCTGTTCCTATGGGAACGGGACATTGAATATCTACTCCCAGAATTGCAACGGCTGGGAATTGAAGAACCTGAGGATCTAATATATCTCTTCGAGGAAGACCTTTTGGAATTCGGTCTTACCCGTTCTCAAGCAGCAAGGGTTCTGTTTGGCGTGCATCCACCAGGCACTCGTAGGCCAGATAACCCGAATACAAGCGGGCTAAGGACAGGTGAAGTGAGGTTGTTTGATAGAGACAATCGACAAATTCCTTGGGTCATGCAAAACCGCACACTGGCACAGTCGAGCCCAGATCCACCGTTACCCAACCTCAGCGTTCGAATAAGTGGAGTTGAGCCATCTAGCTCGAGCCGAAGCTGGCATGATGTAGAACCTGATGGATTAGGGCTAGTAGATCAGTATGAAGACGAAGTGATACAGGCTCAACCGGCCGCATCTAGTAGTCCGCCTGACTTCAATCCTCCCCCTTGGGATGTGGCGTTCCACGATCCTCGCCCTTGGGAGATACCCTCGCGTGCCACTCCTGCCAATCTTCCTAAACACGGGGAAGAACCAGCCCCGGAACCGGTTACTCATGTGTGGGAGGACGAGTGGACTCCAAGCAACATGCCAGCCGGGTACGGTTGTGGCATATGGCAGGACAGTTGGCATCCAAGTGACAATGCTGACACTAGGGGTGTTTGGGAAGATAGTTGGGTTGATCCTGCAGCCGCGAGTTCAGCTGATCACTTTGGTGACATGATAGCAGAGAATCTCGCGAATTCCATAGGGATAGGGCCAGATGCTGATAGTAGTCAATCTAGGCCAGTTGATAGCCCCCCGCTTAACACCACTCTCGAGCAGAACCCCGATCCTGTGCCAACGGTTGATTCCGTCGGAATTGCCAGCTCCTCTGAGGCTGAAGGTCAGGTAGGCCAACGAGACCTTCCGTACCCACCCGGACTTGGATTCTCTGATGACTCCGAGCCTTGGATTCTCTGATGACTCCGAGCCCAGTGTTTGCATGGTTAGAGTGAGTGATATGCTACGACCTGGTGCGCCTAACGAGATGTCACCCACACTGAGGAGGGTTGACTACCAAGAGTGCACAGTGTCTCCTATTGGAGTTCATTTCCCTCCAGTGATCTCCGCTACTGCTGTAGATCCGATCGGACCGACCGGCGGGTCTGTGGTTGCTAAGGTGGTAGAAAATTCCTACACCCCTGATATAGAGCAGCTTCTAAGCAACCTCAGCGGACCCTTGGAGGTAGTACATCAGGTTGCCCCGGCTGATGTAAGAGGTAACCTTGATAAGTGGAGGAGTGCAGCTCAAGATGAGCTTAATTCTTTAGTGAACATGCAAGCAATAAAGCGACACAAGGGTGTGGAGGCACAACAGCTACTACGCAACTCGAGCATCGAAACGATCCCAGCCAAGTGCGTTTTCACCGTTAAGCCTGGAAAACCCTACCGTCGCAAGGTGCGAATTGTCAGCTGCGGAAACTACGCGCAGGGAGTTTCCGAGGACGTATTGTATGCATCCGGAGCCGCTGCGGAAACGCTGCGAACGGTACTGGTGAGATCAGGCCAGCGTAGATACTCCGCTTGGTCAACTGACATTAAAAATGCCTAACTACGAAGCGGTATGCTCTTAGACCTCCGGCTATCCTGATACAGCTAGGTATCGTAGAGCCTGGAGAAGTTTGGGAAGTTTGCCGTGCATTATACGGATTTAAAGAAGCCCCTAAATGGTGGGCTCAATATAGAGACCAAGTGCTAGAGACAACGTGCTTTCGAATTCCAGCAGGTGAGGCAAGGCTCAAGAGGATAGCTAGCGACGAGAATTTATGGAAGATATGTTTAGCAGATGAGGCAGTGGTCGGATATGTTTTAGTGTATGTCGACGACTTACTAATTCTGTCCAGCGCCCAAGTTGCAAGATCGCTCCATGAGTGGATAAAAGAGCAGTGGCAGTGTTCCGACCTAGAAAGGGCATACCCAGGGAAAGCATTGAGATTCCTTGGCATAGACATATTTGAGGTACAAGATGAAGGCGGCCCTTGCGGATTTGCGTTAGGACAGGAAGGATATATAGACGAATTGGTCCGCAGTCACGCGTTGACACCGTCGTGCAAGGCCAATGCTCCTGTTCCAAAGGAGTGGGTCCGAGAAGTTCCTTGTGAAGAGGCCGGATACAGTGAGACAGCACTGCGCGATGCCCAGCGAGTCACCGGTGAACTTCTTTGGGTTTCACAACGTACACGCGTTGACATATCCTTTAGTGCAGGTTTAATGTCGAGTTGGGTTACGAGGTCACCCACGTTCGTCAGCAAACTAGGGCTGAGAATCCTAGCGTACTTAGCCAACACTAAGCGGATGCGGCTGTGCCTGGTCCCCAGAGATCAATCTGATGTCGAGGTTTTCACAGATGCCTCGTTCGCACCGTACAGTGAGAAGTCGATATCAGGGATAGTCGTGCAACTCGCAGGCAGGTGTGTATTTTGGAAATCAAGACGTCAAAGCATCGTTAGTCTGAGCACTGCAGAGTGTGAGTTAATTGCCGCGTGCGAAGGAGTAGTGCTGGCACAATCTATACAAGCACTGGCGTCCGAATTACTTAACGTGCAATCTAAGATTGTCTTGAAGGTAGATAATGTCGCGGCAATCACCCTCGCCGAGGGTGGAGGTTCGCAAAGGACACGACATCTACGAGTGAGGGCGAGTTTCTTGAAGGAGATGATTGATAATGCCCAACTTGCCGTCAACCATTGCCCAGGCGAAAGACAGCTTGCCGATATATTGACAGCTCCTAGACTGGAGTTCTTGAATGGACTACTTGGCATTTCATCTGACTCCCTTGGGGACCCGTTGGTGTCGTCTGTTGCTACAACTTCACGAGCCTTCAGAGGGTTAGACTCGCCCGAGGGCCATGGGATGATACTGATAATGGCGTTATTGATGGTGCAGCTACAACCGGTTACATCCCAGGATGATGATGAAAGGGAACCTGTTGATTTGGATTTATATCTGGTAGCTGTAATGATGGCCTGTTCAGTGTTGTTTGTTTGGGAGGTAGGCAAGCACTGCTTTAGACATTGCGTGCGTGAGCCAATAGCTCGGGTAGCATCTGTGAGGTCCGAGACTGAGGACTCCAGAAGAACTAGGAAGCAACAAGCTGTGAGGAGAGCTCTGGAAAGAGAGGCTCGTGATGGCTCTGATCGTGCAGCGCCTAGCTCCACTGAGGAGACGGTCGTTGCCCCTGCTTCCGCACCTCCCAGTTCTTCCCCGCACCGCACGTTCATCTGCACGTGACTGCCCCGGTTGCGCGTCGATATGAGAATCTCTCTACCTCGACCACCTCGGCACCAGCTTGGACTTTGGTGCGTCCCCCAACTCCACCGATTCCTGATCCTCCTCCACCACCTCCAGAAACTAAGAGGGTAAGTGAAGGTCAAAGAGGAACTCGGAACTCTAGGGAAATAGGAGTTCAAACCACAGGGCCACCTGGCCTCTCAGATGCTCAATTGTGTGAAATGGAAATAATCACAAGTAGCGCAAGAACACCTGGAGTCTTGCATATCTTTCCTGACTGCCATGTTCTCAGAACGGTTCAAAGCACTCATCGCATGACCTTCTGTAGGTATTGTTTGTGGACGCTACGGCAGCAAGGAAATCCAGGATAGGCTTCCGTCCTTAAAGGACGATGCGCCTAAGGAGGAGTGTTGAGGTGTGAGAACTTCTGCATGCCTTCGCCTTTGAGGCCCAGAGGGCTCTTGAGCTAGGAGCTGAGCTCCATGACAGGTAAGCCATGTGGCACACGTACAGCAAGCCGATTGGCACCACACTCATGCACAAGCCTAGGCATGTATAGGACAAGGCTGCATGAGCATGACTAGGCGCAGAGCTCCATGAATCCTAAGCCGAATGACAATCATGTACAGTTCAGTAAGAGCTTTACTTGTCGTTCGCTGCAGCCTGAAAACATTCCAGTGTAAGCCCATGCCGTGATTCTTTCTTGTCAACAGTGCCGAACTGATTGGTGTTACCCAGCATTTGGTTATGGCTTCTGGTGAAAATATGAACCCCAACGAAGTGGACATCTCTGGTGGTGAACCAGAACAACACGGTTCGTTATGGGGTACCACATAAATCCCCTTAAAAAGAAGACCATAAGGTAGGGATATCCTGATATCCTTGTAACATGCTTATGCTTATGTCCTTCTTGGGGCGCCTATGATCTCCCGTCCTGAACCAAAGCTTCTGATTCGGCGGCATCTCGCGGCATAGGTGGCGTCTGCCTGAGGAATTTAATTTAGGCATCGGGGCCCGTCCACGAAGCCAACCCTTCAGGCATAGAAAGAGTTCTCCAAGTAGACTCTTCGCAGGAGCTTCCTACACCCCAAACCCTAAGCCCCTAATCTCTGGAGCTCTGCTATGCCTATTTGCATCCGGGGCTACATGATTGAAGAAGCCGGGCAACCCGACTTCTGCCAGGAGCCCGGCTCAGTCCAATGTTAGTCATGCAGTGTGCCCTACAGGAAAGGGCGCAATCACATGTCAGAAGATCAGCATCCAAAGAGAAATCAGGACAGAACTTGGGATTGGCTGTGTTAAGACTTCAATTTTCAGGCATGTTGCGGGTTACGCAGGAAGTTGAGAATCGTCCTGAAATGCTCCGGGTCACCTGGGCCAGCAGACATGATTGTGGATGCACAAGAGCTACCGTTTGGCAAGCTATGAAGACCACAGGGCTACCACCCCTCACACGTCAGCTATTGAGCCTTGCTTTCGCCTGTTGTTGTTGAAGGGACTCCGCCGAAACCTGGTTACTTTGGTGATAGTACCAGAACCGGTACCCAAAGCCTTTCCGGCAGCTTGACGAGAGAACTCTGAAAAGGATCAGGGTAGGGTTTCGGATGGTTTTGAAACAAACCTACAAGATCGTCAGACTGTGTGCATCCTCCGAAAACCGCTGCCGGCAAGTGGCGGTTCAGGAAGATCCTGCCGTAGCCTGCAGGTTTTTTAAGTACCCGCTTAAACCGATCGTTCGAAAGCTTCTACTGTAAGGGGTCGTTGATCCAAGGTTCACTGCTCAAGCCTCTC